TTTTTTTTTTTTTTTTTTTTAAACGCAATTGAAGGTGGATTTTCATAAAATGTTCCCGAACTTATAATGAGCTAACATAAGACAACCAGAAAATAATGCCAGATGAGAGATTCTGGGAAAGCAAAACCAAGCTATTTGAAACCTATACAGCGCGTCAAATGGATACATGTGCTTAAATATATTGAAGTCATCTGATTTCTTTTAGATGGTACCATTTGTCTTAAAATAAGGAGCAACAGATTGAGCAGGTGGTTTATAACTAAAGTCCAATGAAAGTGATTTGTGTGTCATCAGGGACACTAATTATACTTCAACAGCTGGACGAGTTTACATCTAAAACAGGCCTTGGCAGACACAAACCTTCCTGACTGCTGCAGCCCTGGTAGCAAGGGTTGAGGGATGGCAAGCATCATTGGTCTTACTGCAAGAACAATGCAAGGCAGCAAGATTGCTAGAAACACCAATGTAGTTTGGTGCACAGAGGGCGGAAAGTCTGACACAAGCTCAAGTGAGGTTTAAATGTAACCCACACTTTCACTGGATACTTCTAGTTCTAACTGGTTTTTGAAATGCCGAGTGGCACAAACGGTCCGATTTTGTTGGGTAAAAAAAAATAATGTTCTAGTTTAGTTTTTAAGAATCCCAAGCATCTTAAACTAATCCATGCTCATTCACAGCCAGCAATATTTCTTGAAGGAAAACAAAACGCCAAAGCCCCCAATGTTTTTGATTTTGGTTTTTTTTGTTTACAGATGATGTGTCAAAATTCAGCAGGAAGAGGAACTTCGTCAATACTTCTAAAGCCCTTGCAATGCAGATTTAGGCTGGAAATGGTTTATGCCTTCCACTACAGGGGCAGAGTAATACCAGCCAAAGGCAATTCCCATGAGCCAACTGCTTTTGTGGCCTCTGGAAAGTATTTAAAAAGCCTCAGTTGGCAATTTCAGCAGTAGCAGTTTTTGGCTTTGAAGATCCAGCGTCATTTGAAGCAGGATCTCAGCCTCTCTTTGGTGCGCTGCCAAGACTTGAACAATGCATCAAGGAGTTATTAGGAGTCCTGGTTCTTTTGTTACTGTTTCTTATGCTCCCACTGCAAACAAAGCTCTGGTTGCTAACCACGCTGACGGCCGGATAAATCTGCTTCCGAGTTGCAAGGACCAGTGTTTCAAACAGCACCAGCTAACAGGCTCCAGCAGTCAAATCTTTAGTAGGTTTCAAGAAGAGCCAGCTTTGCCTCCAAGGAGGTGGGGGACTTACATTGTCATTCGGGTACAGGACACGCGAGATGTTCTCAGCCACGTTTCTGTCCAAGACGGCCTGAATGTAGTCTCCAACATTAACTAGGAGGGAATGACAAAGTCAATGCACCTGTACATCACACAAGCAGCTTGACAGGCTTTGTGTCAGGCATTTGGAAGGTGGCTGCTAGCTGGATGTAAGGGAAAAAAAGAAAGAAAAATAAAAGCAATACAGGTTTGCTGACCAGCCAGCAGGACAGTCAGGAAACAACCCAGAGCCTTCGGTTTCCTGCTACGTTTGTCCAAAGGCATTCAGACAAACACAGCTTCAGCCAAGGAAGTGCTGCCAGATTGGCAAGCATGGAATATCTCTTCAACCAAGTAAAACTATGCATTGTCATTAGCAGATTCAACAGAAAATAACTTTAGATTCACACGTGCACATTCAACACATTTGCTTCTCATACTTCCCCCTTCTGCATGAGTTTAGAGTTGCATAAATAGCAAGTTTTGGTCTTGGCCCCAGGTGCATTTTATCCATAATTTCACTACAGCCCCTCCCTGCTATCTCCCTTGCCCCAAAGAACCCAACTAGCCTGAGAAAACCAGCAAGCTAATGCTCAAACAAAGAAGTACTGACAGTCCCGGAGGTTGAAGTCATTGGGGGCCCGAGCAGACCACAGCCGCATGGTGTTGACTGTGTTGTTCATGTATCCAGGCACTGGGGTGTCATATGGCAAGGCGAGGACCACCTGGAACACAAATCACAGGACTCATACTGATGCTGTTTATGAGAGGGGAGGCAGGAATTAAGATAGGGTTATCACGTGATATTCTGCATCTGTCCATACAACACACAGTGCACATATGCCCTGTCCAAAATGACAGCCTTGTAGACATCAGTGAAGGTGCAACAGATGAAGACTAGCCAACCCCCATAGCAGTCAACAGAAAGACTCCCAAGTTCATGATCCTCTGTCCAGCTTAAAAAAAAAAAAGAAGAAGGCTGCCATGAAAACAGTGCATAAAACTGAGTTAGAAAAACAAGTTAAAGCCAGTCAAGAGAAATACTGATAGCCCCCTAGTGTGAGCACAGTAATTGGGTCACTAGCTACTGGGGTATCATTCACTTGTGCCTTAGAAGGCATCTAAGATACCTAGACACATGTGAGGATGTCATCCCCTGTTACACCCACTGGAGCATCCTTACTTTGGAAAGCCCTGGATTTCAGAGTTAAGGGCAGATTTCATGGGTCTGCAAAGAATCTGGGGAGTGAGGAGAAAAGTCAGTGGTAGATAAAGGCTGCCAGCCCTTCAGTCTGCAGCCAGGAGTTGCCCAGACCAGCCAGGTACTGTCTGCAACCAGCTCCAGAGGCCCCCCAGCCGTCTCAAGTACTGGCTACCCGCCCCCCCAAGCACCGAGGGTCTCGTTCAGAGATTGCCCATTGGCAGCGGCTCCTACATTTTGCCAGGGTGCTGGTGGGGAAGTGGAAGAGCGACCTTTTAAATTCTGAGCTTCCGGACTGGCATCAGCCGACACTGCCCGACAAAGGAGCTGCTGTCGAAGGAGCTTTAAAATGTTTTGTTACAAACAGGGCTTGTATAAAGGGCCAGGCTTTCCAGACCCAGCCTCTGGGGTAATAAGAGCTCATTTCCTGTCAGCAGCGTGATTGTGCAGTACTTTGCAAACTTCCCTTTCTCTGACCACAGCAGGAAGCATCTGCTAATTGTGCCTTTTTCTGAAGACATCGTGAACAGCCAAACAGGCGTGAATCCACAGCTAGCATGGAGGGGCTCTGCTGGACCAACCTGGCTGGGGGGACAGGGCCGGCATCCAGGCTGTAGATCAGTAGCTTGGAGTTTGCACCCCACAGAGAACGGCTCTGGAGAGGCATAATCCCAGGTCCCACAGCCACCAGCTTCAATACCAGCCATGTTTGCACACAATCCCTTTGCCCTTCTAACTCTTAACATTTTCCAATGAAGTGGTGTTTCGATGCTGGTGCTCATGGGATCATTAGTGTCATGTGTGAATTGGTTAAATGGATGGGAGCCCAGGGAGAGGAAAGGGCAGACCCAGCACTCCTGCCAGCTGGCTGGAGGGGGGGAAAAAGGGCCCAGCCAGACTGCAGCCCCTGCAAAATCAGCAGGCCTCCCCAGGGTGGCTCTTTTGGGCCAACGCTGCCTTGAGGCAATGCTAAAGGAACAATGCTAAATGGTG